TTTCAAGGTGAATTTCTATGGATGGCTTTTTGATTGGGAGAGATGTGTGCCAACCTGTCTATTCCCTAGGTACTATGAGGCTTTCGGGGTTTGCTCGAGGTTCTTGAACACCCAAAACCTCAGTGAAGGGACGGTCGAGGGTGGTGAACATTATGTGTTTTGCAAGTTGCGTTTTCCAAATAGGTGTTTCGGTCAGATGAAGGCTGGCTAACGAACGCCTGGGCCTATGGTGGGTGAGGATGCCTAGGCTTCTACTTGGGAAGGGGTTTAGGGTTTAGGGTTTAGGGTTTAGGGTTTAGGGTTTAGGGTTTAGGGGAGATTCAGCTCTGCAACTGCAAGCAAGGACGGACAACAGCGACTCCGACGTCGACATGCCAGAGGTCCAGCGCGGCCCGGCCCAGGCCTGGGGACTCGTGTAGTCTCCATATCGGGTGTGTTCGGGAAGCTGGGACTACAGGTGTACCATGATGCGGTTAGGAGGTAATGTAGGCCGAGGTCGTTGGATTCGGCTTGCCGAGTGTTGAGGCCAGCTTGAACGGTGCAGTGGGTTTTGCAGATCTTTTGGCACATCTTTGGAGCCGGTAACCAAGGAGACAGTGGCCCCACAATCTGAAAAGTTGCAACAAATTGCAACGGTTTCCTGGGCTGCAGTGCCCTTCGCCCCTTCCGACAAGTTCTAGGGCTTGGGGTTGAGGCTTTGGTCGATCTTGGAAGGAATCCTGGGCTCCTGGCCACAAGCACGTTTAATTCGATTGTCGTTGCAGCTTCTCAGTCACCAACACGCTGAGTACTGTCCAGGTGTTCCCCGAAGAACGGTGGAGACGTCCTGTGTCTGGGCCTCGGACTCTTGGGATGGTACATATGGTACCTGCCGGATCTCTGTGTGCATGTTTTCAACGAAGCTTGGGAGGGACCGGGGCAAGTTGTGGGAGCATCTTGCTGTGGATCCCTGTAGGCTTTCCAAGCCCTTGGCCGCCTTCGCTGACGGACCAGAAATATGGGGGGTTCCGAAATTCCCTGTTGGGGTCATTATTGCTTGGGGTTCTATATCAGGGTCGCCTACTTTCGTATACCCCCCAAATACTCCACTCGAGTCTGAATGCCACATCTGCTGGCTGCGCAGGGAGAGGCTGCGCAGCACGCTGCTCTCCTGTGCGGCTCCGAGTGAAATCGTGAGCCATGTGCCTAGGCGTACGAAACTCGGACTCCCTGCTGTTTCATGAGTTTTCCCCAGAGTTTTTTAGGTTCAGGGCAGAAGGGCAAAAGCAAAATCATGTCGACGCTTGGCGCCGTATGGCAGCTGGACTCTGGACATCTCTGGACTGAGGGTGCGAGAATTTGAGAACCCGGGGGATTATTTGGACATCTTGGAAGTACAAAAAACGGAGAGAGAACTTGAAGAAGTGCGCAAAGGCAGTTCGATCGCAACTCATCGCCAATGGACTCCAGACCTCCACAAAGCACCTCGTGTCCGATATCGGAGGCATGCTGCCCTTGCTGCTCGCGGTGCTGATCCTCTACTCGCTCTACCGCGGCGTTCCCTCCACAGAGCTCCGGGGTGTGGCCCAGGATGCGGCATGAAGGGCTATATCCCCCTGGGGAAAGACTCTTTGTTTTTGTTTAATATACAACCCAAGAGGAGATTAAAGATGATTAAAGATATTATGTTTATTATGGTTCTGAGGGGAGTATAGAAGGGGGTTGAGGGATGTTGAGGGTTTAGGAGCTTGTGCGGCGTCGACACTGACGTGATGAGTCATCTCTGACAAGTCATCTTGAACTCCGCAAAAACCCCTTCCCACAACGCATCCAAATCCTCTAACAATCCCCTCCACAGATAAGCGGCTTGAGTGGCTAAGTCGGTTGATCCGCAGGATGCAGGGAATTGCAAGCAACAGCAGCAAGTCTACGAGTTGCGGCGAACAGCCACGTGCCATGATGTTTCAGCAGCAGATGCAGGAAACCTCTGGAGCTCAGCAGCTCAGGTGAAGCTGTTTCTCCGATCCCTTTTTGATATCTACATCGCCAGGTGCTTGGCCGGTCGGCTAGGCGGGGGTTAGAGATTGGGCTAGGGGATGGGTTAGGTCGAGAGTGGCAAGATGGGTCAGGTCGGGTGACGGTTGAGTCGTTGGGCGGGGTCGGGGAGTCGGCTAGGGCTAGGGAAAGGTCAGCTTGGGAAAGGTTACCTTAGGGAACGAACGCTTAGGGCTTAGGGTTTGGCAGAATGGGTTAGATCGGGTGACGGCTAGGGTGGTTAGGCTAGTTTAAGGTGACCTGAAGTTAGGTTAGGGCTTGGTACAGGCTCAGATTAGGCTAGGGAAGGTGACCTTGGGTTAGGTGAGGGTGGTGGGTGGGCTACGTTAGGCCGGGCTTCGGGCTGGTCTGGATGGGTTAGGTCCGGTGACTGCCAGGGTGCTGAGGATTGGATCGCTTGGGTGGCTTGGGTGAGGGTTTCACGGACATTTTGGTGAAGTGGTCGTTCGGTTCTACAAGCTGCCATGTTTGGTTTAGCATGGCACGCCTTTGGTTGGGGTCGCCGGATGTTGTTGGTTGAGTTCTGTTGATATTTTGGTTGGGTAATGTTGGGTACATGGAACCTTGTGGTGGTGGGGTGTTTTGACATGTCGGTTGGCCATCCATGTTTGACCCGAAATCCCCAATCCTTCTGCAGACAGAAGCCATCTCGCCCCAGGCCTTGTGAAGCTGTCAGCTGCTCAGGTCGTCAAGTGCTTGGTGTTTCTGGCAATTCGCGTCGCCCTCTTCCCGCTTTACCTCCTATGGCCAGGGCCCAAAGCGTGTACAGACTAGGTCTTTGTGGGTTTGGGTCTTTCAGAAACGAGGGATGGGGTTTTGAGCAGAATGCTGTAGCGCATTCGGCGAGGTGTCGGATTCACAGCTTGTAGCTGCAGATTTTTTGCTTGGGGTGGGTGGCAGTTCGGGCTGGGGTGTTGAGTTTGGGGTTGACTGGCTGTATAGTTGTGCTAGCGGGCGTCTTTCGTGTTTCTGCTGAGCTGTCCTACAATACCCCATCCTCCCCTTGTGCAAAGTGGTGCCTAGAGGCAGAGCGGGCCCGCTGTAGGGAGGGGCAGCTCTCACTGCTCCCACTGAGCTTGAGCGGATGGTTGTTAAGCAGCCCTCCGAAACTCTCCCTGAACCAAGGCTGCTGCTCCCGTCCTTCATCCGGGCTTTTGTAACCCTGGCGAATTGCAATCCGCGACCCCAAGCTGTCAAATCTTCGAAGCCTTACGTTCTAGGATGCATGATTCGGGCCCTTGCGGTTCAAGTGTACTTGAGCGTTGGGAGCTTCAGGTTCGAACGGGTTCGAAGCTTAAGCCCTAAGCCCTAAACCTAAGCCCTAAACCCTAAACCCTAGACCCTAATCCCTAAACCCTCAACCCTCAACCCTGAACCCCGCGTTTTCTTCCCCCTATCTGCCAGATTTGGGAGAAGTTCGACGAGCGGATCGGCCGCCGGGTCCGAAAGGTCCTCGCCTTCAAGCGAAGTGCCCACGTCCCAGCTTCGGGTTTAGGGTTTAGGGTGTAGGGTGTAGGGTGTAGGGTGTAGGGTGTAGGGTGTAGGGTGTAGGTCTAGGGTGTAGGGTTTAGGGTTGAGGGTTTAGGTTTTAAGGTTTAGGGTGTCAGGGTTCAGGGTTTAGGGTTTAGGGTTTAGGGTGCGGGTTGATTGGGCTCTGCTCCGTGGGGTTTTATCTTGCAGAGAGGGATAGAGATCCACGAAGCACAGGCGTGTCTGAAACTGAAAGCCCCACAAAGAACCGGCAGTCATCATTTTTCGGGGATCTGACTCGCCATGTGGCCGCTTATCGTAGCTTGTTGCACGGTATGTGCCTTCTTTCATGCGTGGTCGGGTCTGTTCGGAGTTCTTCCGAATTTTTGCCCACGGCAAGACTCGATACTCGATACTTCAGGATTCTGCCAGCCACTCCAAACATCAACTCCACATGTGCAGATCTTGGCCTTGTGCATGTGCACTTTTAGGGTTCCTTTCGTGGTTTTAGTTGACCGTGCGCTCGAAACTCGAGGCTGCCAGTTGCGGGGACTGAGCCATTAAATGGGGGTTTGCGGCAATAGGGGGGGTTACCCAAAATAGACCAAAATAGTAGGATTCCCTGATGGTAAGAACCCCAAGAAGGTACCCCCAAAAGCCCCAAGCGGTTCTGGTATCTGTTCTTCTCGTGCTAGTGCCTGCATGTGCGCACTTGCGGATCCTGGCCTTTCGAGGTGGAGGCCGTCATTTACGACATCCCCGACATGCTTTGGGCTTGCATGCTGGCCGCGCACGGACCTCTGTGAATCCTAAATCCTTAACTACCCCGTAAATTGTTAAAGGGTTCAAGAGCCCGAAGCCGATTTCAAGCACTTTGATAGTCAAGTGTTGGGCTTCTTGAGGTTCCCGTCATGGCAAGCCGCATAAGCTCCGTAAGCTCTGTAAGCTTGTTGGTATGCACTGGTCGCAGTCTCAAGAACCAGTGAGGCAAGTCGGGGCACACGAAAGGTGTTGAACTGGGTGGGATGTCGGACGAGGGTGCAGTACCGCAGTTTAGGGAGAGGGCCTTCAGGAAGCCATCGGAACTGCTTTGTGTCCTTCGTATTCTGCAGACATGCTGCGTGGGTAGTGTTTCAAGAATCGGGGCGAAGCGTACCGACAAAGTGCTCTGAGCTCCTCAGGGATGCATGGGTGTTGCAAAGGGATCTATACTGGACGAGTATCCCTGCCCATGCCCTAAACTTCCCCAGAGCGTATCAGTGACCCGTGAACCCTGTGATGCAACCTGTCCATGAGCCTTGAGCCTTTCATGATCTTCCATGAAGTTCAGGTTTGTAGAGTGTTGGGGGGTGCTAATTCAGGTCTGCAGGCTCTTGTTTGTAGGAGGTTTGGGGGTGAGGGACTTGGATGCGATTTCCCTGAAAAGACCCGCGAGCTGTTTATGGTCAGGGCTGCGAGGTGCAGTCGTCCCCCGTCAAGTTTCAAGTTTTCTTCGCATGGCCATGCAAAGTGGCAAGTACATTGAGGCCAGGGTTTCTGCCACCGAACCTCTATTCCCAACCCCTGCAACCCCGAACCCTAAACCCTAAACCCTAAACCCTAAACCCTAAACCCTAAACCCTAATTCAGGCCGGGTTGAGCTGTCGGTAGAACCCATGCCCTGGTCGCGCGCAAGACAGCAAGACGGCGAACACTGCACAGAAGGGTTCAGGGTTTAGGGTTTAGGGTTTAGGGCTAAAGAAGCTGGTTGGGGTATAAAATCACCTGGGGGATTTTCTGGGTTGACAGGGCTCGTAACTTTATTGAAAAAAGTAGCTCAGGGCTCGGTTTTGGCTGTTGGTTTTAGGCGGTTTGGGGAAGAAACAACAATGGAGTCAATTAAAGTCTGAGAGCTTTGCAGGGCGACTTTCGCCGGAAACGCTGGGCAGATATCGACACAGATGATGAGGCACGGCACCAGAAACCTACTAGGGTTTAAATTGTAGGCTTGTGCCTCCTGGAGATTTACCCAAAACGTGAATGTGCGTGCGGGGGGTGGAGGGGGGTTTGAAACCCAAATCCTAGTCGATTCAGTTTCTGTTTGGACAGCTACCGTCAATCACTTTCTGATTGAGTGAGCTTCTGTGGCAAACCAACCCGCAAATTTTGTGTGGTCATGAACAAAGGCTATGGCTACGGAATGCTTTGGTGATGAAAAGTGCACATGGATATGAAAGGGTTTGTGAAAGAGGACGTTCGCAAGTCCCATCCACTGCGCAAAGCGAAGTGGCCTTCGGGGTGGAAGCTTGATCGAAAAGATTCAACGTTCTACAAACGTTTCAGCTCCCCAACCCAACAACGTTAGTGCCCATGTGCCTGGGTCGCACACCCAAAATGGCATAATCAGCCTGCAGGGTTTAGGGTTGAGGGTTTAGGGTTTAGGGTTTAGGGTTTAGCACAGGTTCTGGGAGATGCTGGATGCATTCTCATACATATTCAGGTTGACCCTAACCCGGACCTTAATCTTAACGCGATGCGAAACGCCTCGGCCGGGGCCCCCTACGGTCGGGGCCAGATGCCCCCTGGTTCTGATGCGCTGTCCGCTCTACCCATTCCAAGCACAAACGTGCTAAGTAAAGCAATGTCGGGGATGAAAGAACCTCAAATTCCCCACGAAGCTGCAAATGTATGCATTGCAAGTTGGGATTGTTCCCGAAAGCCTCCCCTAGCCCAACCTCAAGGCTTCTGTCTGTGTGCGTGTGTGCAGAGGATGGCATCTCGCACTGGATGCCAGCGCATCAAGTCGATGCTCCTGGGCCAACAGATGCACCATGAAGCCCCCAATCAAAGCCTAGAGCGCCCACTTAGGCCCGAGGATTTCAAGCTTCCAAAACCTGAACCACAAACACACCAAACTGCCTCAGCCTAATCCCACAAGACTCCAGGCACGAAAGCTGCACAGTTTGGTAGTTGAAGGGCCTAGGGTCCACGTTTCCATATGGGGATAAAGCACGCGCTTTTATGATGCAGTTGAAGGTTTGTTTAAGGGGTTCTTGTTTGGTTTCATGTCTCATGGTTGCAAAAAGTCTTTATGGCTGCTGCAGAACATCATAAGCTTTGTCGGGCAAAGTCGGTTCAAAGCGACAGCTACCCCTCTCGTGAGCTTCCTAAGCCGCTCCCAACAGGAAAAGGAAAAACAATCCAAGCGCAGCATTGCGCTTCAGTCTATCGAAAGTCCCCCTGACATGTATCAGCTCTGCTCGCTCGGACCCCAAAAAATTGCAGAATGATCTCAGGCTCTGCCGGTTCCTCTTGGATTTATCCTAGGTTTCGGTGGTGTGAACTCGTCCTGATCTTCAGCTCCCATAGCATAAAGTTCAAATGTCAACATTGAGTTCGCATGTGAAGCCTCAACCCCCACCACTCTGAACCCCAAACGGCACAAGCTGAACTCCACAGCCCTGAGCCCTTTGAGCCTTTAAGTCAACACGTGCCAAAAGCCCTGCGCCATCATCATCAAACAGCTTTCGATGCCCAGGGCGTTTGTGAGACAGAAGGAACACCAGGAACACCAGTCCATGATGCGCCGCTTGACTGGCGCCCAACCTGAAGATTCTGGATTTCGGTGGGCTTGTGGGGTTTAGGGTTTAGGGTTTAGGGTTTAGGGTTTAGGGTTTAGAGTTTAGAGTTTAGGGTTTAGGGTTTAGGGAGTTTCAAGCTTGCTCGTTGGTCTTCGAGCTTTAGGCTGCTTCGCGCGGAGTCGCTGTATGTGCAAGTCTTTGTGGAGGGCATCAGGAGTCGTTGGCCCAAATCCCCAGCCAAGCCGTCACAAGCGCTGGTTAGTTCTGGTTAGTTGATGTGTAGTTGTTGCCATGGGCACCTCACGAGGAAGGCGAATCCGTGATTTTTTCGCTTTGAGGATTGGGGCTGAACTTCAATCGCTATGAAGGTACCATGCAGCATCCCTGCCACCACGAACCCTTCTCCTGAGCGTTCGCACACAGTGCGCACATCTTGTGTCTAGTTGTTTCATCTCTGTTTATCATCTCCCTCGATGTAGACCCTAACCCTAAATCCTAAACCCTAAACCCTAAATCCTAAACCCTAAACCCTAAACCCTAAATCCTAAACCCTAAACCCTCAACCCTAAACAGAAAAAGACCCAGGGAGAAGCCGCTTGCCTGGGATCCCGTGGGCCTTTCAAGTGGCATCTCACAGCCTCCGCCGACCCTGGACGAGGTCCTTCTGCAGCCCCTCGGACTGTTTGTATTTTGTGTTTCCTTTTTTGTTCGGGCTGTTTTTGTTTGTTCGCGAGGTTTCGGGTACTACTTTCTTACAGATTTGTGGTTAGGGCCTCGGTGGTATATCTGATAGTCCTCACACGTTTCAAGCTGCCGGGGGAATACCTGGAATCTATGGGGTCTGCTCATCTTTAGCGACGTTCCAGCTTTCAACACGCCAAGAACGCGCCCTCCCCACAGTCCCCAGGCCTGGAGAAACTCCACTTCAACAGAACCGTTGCGCTTCTTGTTCGGGCCATACCGGGACTTCCATTCTTGGAAATCCACTTGCGGCTCTTGCTGTTGTTGTGGTGCATCAGTCCACAAACATCTCTTGCCCGACGCCAAAACAAGAGAGCCAATCCGAAACGACCACCTTCAACCTCTATCGACCCCAAACCCTAGAAGCTGAGATTGACAACTCCGAAGTTTGTCAGGAGGAAAGATTTTCTCCGCGAGGTGACCCCAGGCAGTGCCGAAGTTTGCATTCCTCCACATCGGGCTCAAACCCTACACCCGTCTCCCTAAACCCTAAACCCTAAACCCTAAACCCTAAACCCTGAACCCTAAAACCTAGACCCTGAACCCTAAGCTCTTGAACCTGAAGCTCCCTGAACTTAAGCCCACGAAGCCGAAGCACCCTTAAACAACGACGTTCTGAACTCCAACATTCTTTGATTTCGTTCTGGGGGGGGGGGGGGGGGGGGGGGGCCCCTGTTTTGCGAGCTTTTGCGCCCAAAAGGTCAGAATTGCGTCTGCAGCTGAAAAACTTCAAGAGCTTAGGGGCTTCGGGCCTCGGGGTTTATGTCATGAGGGTTCTTCGCAATGTAGGTGCAACCTCTAGGTAGCCCTCCTTGCGAGCAGATTCTTGTTTTCTATGTAGGTATCGCATTGGGGGCTCCTGCATGGGAACGTGGCTTCTCTTTTACAGCGTTTGCTGCCTGCAGGGTCTGCGGATTCCTATGGCAAGTGGTCTTGGAGCACCGGTGCAGCATCATCGGAGACTGCATCAGAGTCCTTCGGCTTATCTGTAGTTTACACGCCCCCGGAACCATCAGTGAAGTCTCCAGGGTGCACAGGGCCCTCATGGTCCTACTAGACTCCGCATTGCTCCTTGAGCTGTAGCATCCGCACGCCCAAGTGTTCTAGCTACACTAAGTGTGTTCGCCCCCTCGATCCTTGACTGGGACACCATTCGAAGCCTTATTTTGAGACCTGCAAAGCCGAGTGCCTTGAGCCCACGGAGAGCCCTAATCTCCCAAAGCCTAAAAAGCCGTAAGCCCTGCACCAAGGGTGGACGGGGTGGACGACACGTCGCCCATATTCTCGCAGTCGGGGTTGAGGCACGAGTGTAGGAGGGTTGCCTAATTTCACTTATGGGTTTTGGTGAGGATCCCAGGATGGGGGATCCTTGTGTCGTGTTTCGACAGTGTTTCGGCAGGTTCTTCATTTTGGTGATCTGCAGGTGTTCTGCCACTTTTACCCAAGGGTTCTGGAGGCGCTTATTGAGTTGGACCTTCAGAAGTCGAACAGCGAATAGGCGGCAGCAATAGGCGGCAGCAGTGAGAGTGTAGATGACGGCATGCGGTCGCCTGTTTCTTTTGTTCCATGGCTCGCGACGAAGTATGGCACAATGTTGTCATAGCTGTTTGGCCCTATCCTGTTTCTCTTCGTTTTGGTTTCTGGCTCCTGCGATTAAGTTGCGGTTTGTTAGCAATGTCGAGACAGCAAAATCTGCAAAGCCAGTCACCTTGGTACGCTCATTGTGGGTTTATTTCCCAAACAAATATCTACGCCATGCAAGCATGCCTGCGCTCCAGCCCTCGCGTGCTCCTCTCGACGTCACCTGCCGGGGCCGTGCAGCGCAAGGCACTCCAGGGAGAGTATTCTGTTTCATTCATCAATCTCGTCGACAGGGTTTGCAGGAATTCAGGCTTGTGTTCTTGTGAGATCTAGCTGAGTGGCCGTCCTTGGGGGGTTGGGGGGCGGGGGAAGAGGGGGGGGAGGGGCGGCGCATTTTTGCTCCAAATGCGTACATTCAGTCAAAATCAATTGAGACTATTGAATGTAGAAAATCGAACATAATGAAGGGTTGCTTTACATATGAACAAGAGCTCAGCTTGACCATGGCTGGTCTGTTAACTATTCTAGACTGCGACGAAGCAGCCTAGATGCCATGTGCACACATGAGTGTGAGTCAAACTTCAGCAACGCCTAGAGCATTCAACAACAATCACAGCAGCAGGGGTCGTTGAAGTTACCAATGGTGGCATGGAAGCATGCTTCATCAAAGGTGAGGTTTCTATCCAAGCCACCTTCCTCGCTTCCGAAACTTTTCATGTCAAGCCTGTGTCCCTATTCTGGATTACGAGATTGCGAGAGGGCAGCCCAGACTCTGCGAGTAGACATAATTGTGGACTCACCAACAGCTAAACTTCAGCAGTACGCAAACCAGTAAAACAATGACACAAACCCCACCCACACACACACTTTTACTTGGACACCTCCCCACCTCTTCTTTTTCTGTTTGCTCTCTCTCTCTCTCTCTCGCTCGCTCTCTCCTTCTGTTGCTCTTTCTCTCTCTGTCGGGCCCGATAAGCCCGCAGCAGGACCCAGCGGGAGGAATACAGAAGGAACCTTTGTTTTCTTGACCGGCACGTCTTGTGCAAGGGGTCTCCGTGGCAGGAACTCTATTCCATGATCACCTCCACAATGAGGTATTCCGGGATCTATCTTAACATGTGATGCTAGAAGTAAGCAAAGGAAGGAGACGCGGTCCCAAGAGGGATTGCCTGGGGGGCAGCTATCTCACTTGTTCCTGCTTACAAAGGAATTGAACAAAAAATGGCCTGGCTGTTGCCACTGTGAATCCGAAGCCTTGCCAAACTATCAAGCGCTATGTTTGAAGTCGCATTCTCCAGTCGTGTTACTTCCCAGGCCTGGTGTCTTCTGTGTTGGTGCTTCTTGTAGCCGAAGACATGTGGCAGGACATCATCAAACATAAGCTTTCCTAGGCTGTAGACGGGAAATTGAAGATGCTGTCGGATTTTTCGCAGGCACGCCCGAGCTTGATGGCGACTCCAGTGTTTGTGGCAGTGGCATCGCCCAGTTTGCCGCCGATTCTCGTCTCAAGCAACCAAATTCCCTAGATCACAATCTCGATCATTTTAGGGTTTAGGGTTCAGGGATGGAAGCGCAGCATTGCTGAGGACTGTTTTTCCGATTCCATGCTCTCCTGGTTACCCCGCGCAGCTCGGAGGCTTCAGTGGCGTCCAAGTGTCTAGAGGTGGGAGATTTCGCAGTGTTCGTGGCATGTCTGGCGAGGGTGTTAGACTTTTTTTGGCTTCAGGTCTGATTTCCTTTGGGGTCCTCTCTTCGTAATAACAGTGTGCGCGTTTGACCGGATGGACGTCACACGGTTCGGTCCTGGTCTCCCATGGTCCTCGATCATGGTCTGCGATCATGCGCACACACGGGCCGGGTGGGTGTCGCAAGGTTCGGTCCGTGCTCGAAGGTCTAGAAATCAGTGTTCACAAGTATAGATGAGCTTGATGATTTCAATGATCATAGAGGCAAGACGCGCACCGCCTCACAGCGCCTGCTTGAGCAAGCCGGGATGACGTTGGGGGTAGAATTGTCAGAATCCTGAATGCTAAAGCCCAACTTTGCGCTTGCGCTGAGGTTGTTGCAGGGTTCAGCCACGCACATGTGGGGTGGCCAGGAGAAGCAGAACAAGGACCCAACATGTCCTGAATCCACGGCTTAAGAACCCTAAACCCCTCTACGCCCTAAACCCTAAACCTTAAACCCTAAACCCTAAACCTTAAACCCAAACCCTAAACCCTAAATCCTAAACCCTAAGCCCTAAACCAGGATCTTTCGTCCTCTGCGTTGTGCCGCCCTCCTTTCGGCCGGGAGCATCGGCAGCTTGAAGTCGCACGAAGTGGGTTCAGGTTTTGGCTTGCATGTTGCAAGGCTGCTTAGGGTTTAGGGTTTAGGGTTTAGGGTTTAGGGTTTAGCCTAAGTTTTGATTGTATCCGAGCAAGCGCTGACACAATCCATGTCTAAGTTTCGAAACTGCCATGGCGCTTGAGGCTTTTCTGGCTGCCTGAAGCCAGCCGAAAATCCTAAGCCACACCTCGGATATGCAAGAAAACATTCCCACCATAAACCTCCAGCCGCCTCTGGGTTGAATGCTGGTCAAGTTTGGAATGCGGGCTGGTCCATCATCAAGTGCTAAGTAGACTAGAGTTTCTTTAGGAATTGTGTTGCATTTTCGTTTATTTCAAGCCCAAGGGAACAATCATGAAGCACATTATCTGTATGATGGCTCTAAGGGGAGTAGGGGAGTATAGCAAAGAATTTGAGCCTTGGACACATCTTATATAAACACCGAAGCAGCACCCGGAGACGAATGCAAGGTTCCATCGGTTGAACAACACCATGGGTGAGCTGGATGCTGGCGGTCGCACCTTCACTGTGGGACAGAACAAGGACCCTGCATTTCCAGCTTGCATAGACTGGAAGATTGCAAGTCGAGCGCTCAACCGATGTCCGATGCACACGCAATGACCGCCAAAAGGTTTGGATCGACATGGACGAAAACAGCGAAACGACCAAGTACAACCTCACTCATGCAATACGTTTCGAACATGTGGGTCCTCCATGAGTCACATGGCTCCAGAAAGACAAGGATAAAAGCGCCCGAATCGGTACAGCAATACACGGTGTTTCTGCAACAGGCATGTACTCGTACAGCGTTGATCAAATGCAGTTACTCCTCACTGAAGGCGCGTCATCGGACGTTCATCAACAAATGCTAGCCTCGCAGAGGAAGCCCACAAAAGAATCCATGTCTTATGCAGCTCCACTGAAAGCTCATGGAGTTAGCACAATGTGCACCTCCAAAGGGCACTGAGGTTGCTAGAAGGCCACAAGGCCTAGAGACTTCCAGTCTGCACGTGGAACGCAAGGAGTGGGGGCGGATGGTGGTTCAGTCCCAGCACACTCGTTCGGGCTACATGGAAAGGCTTAGGTTCAAAGCAGCATGTGCAGGGTTAAGCGCACCTCGGTACATGTGACTCTTTTGGCAGGGACGTCTGAGCATCGTCTGCACGAACCGGGTGCACTTCCAGGGCATCCGGCGCTACGCAGTGCAGCACGCCTTGGCTGCACGGGTTTAGTTCATCGCAGTCAGGTCTTACAGCTCATGGCTTGTAGGGATGGAAAGTATTGGGGTTATTGGCGTTTCAGCGTTTCAGTGGCCAAGGCTGCTCAGGCCCTGCAAGCCCACAGACAAACTGCCCAGAACGAGGTTCCGAATTCCTGGAAAGCCCACGCGCGCAGGTTCCAGGAGGGCGAGCTCTGCAATGCGGATGGCGTCGGCTATATCATCTCCGCAGACCTCCCGTGCACCAAGAGCTCTGGCAATGTAGGGGGCACTTCAGGGCTCCTGTCGAGGATTTATGGTGTTGAGAGTTCAGGAGAATACGAAGGAGATGCCCCAGTCAGAAAAACTGATAGGACCCACGAACGCGAATGCAGACACGTGTCACCGACTTCGGCCAGAAAGATATGATGTGCGGACACGACACGAGGACAGGACACAAGGACAGGACACGAAGACGAAGACACGAAGACGAAGACACGAAGACGAAGACACGATACGACACGAAATTACACGACACGAAGACACGACACGAGGACACGACACGAAGACGAAGACACAATACGACACGAAGACATGATACGAAACGAAGACACGGCACGAGGACACCACACGAGGACACGACACAAGGACACGACACGAAGACATGACACGACACGAAGACACGACACGAGGACACGACACGAAGACGAAGACACGATACGACACGAAGACCTGACACGGTACCACACGAAGATAAGACGAAGACACGATACGACACGAGGACACGCCACGAGGACACGACCAGAAGACGAAGACACGCTACGACCCGAAGACGTGACACGAAACGAAGACATGGCACGAGGACACGACACGAGGACACGACACGAGGACCGAGGCCACGACACAAGGACACGATACGAAGACGAAGACACGATACGATCCGACGACATGACACGACACGAAGACACGAAGATCGCGGGTCGGGGATGGTGGGAGGGTGGGGGCATGACGCGGGGTTGGGGGGGGGGGAGGGTGCCAAGGAGGGGTGGGGGCACGTCACATCCGCCACTTGCACATGCTATCTGCGGACGACAGATGACGAACATGTGCGGGCACATACTTCGCAAGAACCTCAGCGGAGCTTCTGCACAAAACAAGCCCAGACTTGGCCAAGTAGACATAGGATTAGATGGCCAGAGCAGTGCACCAAGATAGTATGGAACTGGTGTTTAACAGCGCACAAGCTACTCCTCAAAAACGATCTCGTATCAGATTTACTGTGCAGGGGCGCAGGGATGGAGCTGCAGAGGGCCACCCCAAAAACAAATCCGAAAGCTGCAGCCCTGGTGTTTTTTCAGCATCCGCATCCGTCAGCGGGTGGTTGTCACATTCCGCGCACATCGTACTCGGAGAGACTCTTTCGAACAGAAGCCTTTAGAATCCTGATGACGGAGATCTAGAATGTAATTCTTGCTTGGTTTTGTTCTAGCTCAAGTTGAAAAACCCTGGAACGAAACACGTTGACGACCGTTCAATTTCCTGAGAGCCCTGAACCCGCTAAGGAACATTCAGAAGATTTTCTCCGTCTTCGCGAATCGGACTGGTCGCATCTGCATTCGTGCACATGAGGCCGGACAGCTCAGAGGGCGTCCTAGAGGGAGGTCCCGGCTTCCGACGTCCTGCGTGCCGCTGTGTTTTCTTTTGTGCCAAGGTTGAGTTCGGTCAGCTTGCGGTGCGTGAAAGATAGAAAAAGGGAACAATGTGTGAAGGCCTGTGACAGGGGTACGTCGTTCTTCCAGGTTGAAGAAGCTTGTCACAAAAGGCCGCGCAGACGATCGAGTACCCCCTGTGGCAAAACCTTTGAGTCTGCGTTCAAGTGCCCCCTTATAGTACCCCCTATTATGATCCCCATTAAGGACTGTTAGTATAAGGGGGAGAATCCCAAGTTAAAGACCACAACAATGTATAATTCTGGAGAGCTCCAGCCAAGAGCGCAGGAAGTGGAACGGTGCCCACAGCAAGTTCGGTGCCCTGGCCAAAGCTTTGGTTGTCTGCTTAAGAACACCCCAAAAGATGCAAAATAGTACTTGTTGTATTGTCCTTGTAAGGAAGAAAACATGTAGTTGTTGGGGGGTTCTGAAGCAATTCGTAGTTTATGGTCAGGTTGCACTACCTTAAGTTCTTCAAAGGTGTCGGCGTTTGCTTGGTGCTGTTATCGTCTACAGGAAATTTCTGACGCATCCCTGCGTTCCCCCCACAGCGTTGAACCCGCAAAATGGGCCACCATCTTAAAACTCCCAAGCCCCTAACCCCTAACCCCTAACCCCTAACCCCCAACCCCCAACCCCTAACCCCTAACCCCTAACCCCTAACCCCTAACCCCTAACCCCTAACCCCTAAGCCCTAACCCCTAACCCCTAACCCCTAAACCCTAAACCCTCAACCCTCAACCCTAAACCCTAAACCCTAAACCCCAAACCCTAAACCCTAAACCCTAAACCCTAAACCCTAAACCCAACCATAGAACATCCTTCTTGGTCGGCTTGAGGCAGCTTGAGGTGGGCGATTGGGTGGAGGCGGGCCGTCTGAGTTGGACGCCTTGGGTAGCAGCCAACTTCGGGGTTCTTTCCGACATCCTTCAATAGCTGCGGTGTGCTGCGCAAGCTGCTTCTGTTCAGGGTTTAGGGTTTAGGGTTTAGGGTTTGGGGTTTGGGGTTTGGGGTTTAGGATTTATAGGTGCTGTCTTGGGAACGGAGGCAACTCGGGGAGTAGCAGCCTGTGGGTTAGGCTCGGGAGGTAGCCAAGGTTCAGGGAACTGCGTTCAAGCGACCTCAGATTCGAAGTGCCTATCCTAAGCCCTTGGGCCGATTGCAGTCTGTGAAGGATGCCATAGATCCTCTTCGTGAGTGAGGAGGTAGGGGGCTCCTTACACAGGAATAGAATCCTTTCCGAGAAGCTTCGGTGCTTCTAGACGCCTCTAGTTAGAGCCAATCCTGTCCAGGAGGGAGGAGGCTCCAAGTTCTAAGAACGAACCCAAAGCCCTCCTAAGCCATATGGGTGGTTGTCAAAATTATGATCCTTTTGGGTAAATATTCGGTGCCGTATTATCATAGGGATCCAAAAAGGGACAATGATTTTGACAACCACCCATAACCCTAAACCCTAAACCCTAAACCCTAAACCCTAAACCCTAAACCCTGAGCCCAAAGACCTCCTAAGCCATATGAAGCCCGAGCCAAAGCCGGGTTTCATTTTTAAAACACTGCGGCACCAGGTCACCGCTGACTTGCCCTGTCAGACTGCCTCTTGGCTCTCTTGCCTGGCTCAAAAGCTACCCCTAAACCCTAAACCCTAAACCCTAAACCCTAAACCCTAAACTCTAAACCCTAAACCCTAAACCCTAAACCCTAAACCCTAAACCCTAAACCCTGAACCCTAAACCCTAAACCCCAAGGTTTGCTGATCGTTCAGGGTAGACACGTAAAGGGCAGGCAGAGGTACGTGCAGGAGGCTTCCCAGCTGCACATTTACGAAGCAACCGAGGTGAGCTTCACTGTGTGGCCCAAAGATGGCTCTTTTCCTTCCCGTGCTGTGGTCTCCTTCCAGGCTCGCTGGGGTTAAAAACCCTAAACCCTAAAACCCTAAACCCTAAACCCACCCTAAACCCTAAGGCGGTTAAGGTTCATGTATACCAGGCTTCCTGGTATGTAGGGGGTGGATCTGAAGCACGCTGTTTCTTGCCTTGTCGCATCACCAGCTTGGGCTGAATTCCATGAGCACTTTGTCGTTTCTCCAGAATCCAGATGTTCCCAATTGCTGCTCTGAAGGATGTACCTGTTCGGGGCTTACGGGGTTGGGTCAAAGCTTTTGTAGTCGAGCCAGATTGCCCAGTGGATCATGTAATCGGTTCCCGAAAGAAGCAGAAGGCGTACAACGCAGAATCTGATATCAGCATCCGGTCTAAGCCATCAACCCTAAACCCTAAACCCTAAACACTAAACCCTAGACCCTAAAACCCTAAACCCTAATAGCTCTGCATAGCCACTGGTAAGCAGGAGGCCTTCAGCAAGTGCTGCGGTCGCCTCAGTGGGCTGCCGCGGAAGCCGTGCGGTATCTTGGCAACTACAAGAGGGGTTGCCCGGGAGGTGGGAGGGGTTCTGTTTTTCAGCATGTTTGATCTGTTGACATGTATTTGGATTTGTAGACGTGCTCTGTTTTTGGAAGCCAGTCCTTAGGGGTTTCCTGTAGTCGGGACAAGTTTGGGGCACCTTACAAAGTCTAACTAACTGACATCCTTAGATCTGAGTGATCTGAGACACTTGCAGCCATTTCGATCTTCAATTCCCGTATGACACGGCGAACGTCAAACATCGGCCGACTGCAATCGATGTCGTGCACTTCGTAACATGCGTCACATGCACGGGAACGGTCTCTCACCTCCTGTTCCACGACGAATCTGGCCTTCCATGGTGCAAGGTGCGAAGCTCAGGAGTCTTCCTTCACATTGCCGTCGTGGCTTCTCACTGGGTATCAATCCTTGGCTTCTGCTGCGGGCGACTTTGACCCTGGCATTGCGGAAGCGTGGAGCTGTCGATCCCAAGGGCCTCCCTCATTCGGGCTTCCACAGAGCCCCTACAGTGCAACTCTCTGCATCTCCACAGGAGGCCCATGGCGATGCTGCGTACAAGCGGCACACGTAACACGAAAGATGGCACTGTCTCACCTGGTGGATGCCACAACTGCGATAATTGTAGTCGGCAGTCTACTTGTGGCGCACTTGTGGACATCTCAGAGCGCTACTACGGTCTTCCCCCTGCTGAGTGGTTAGATTGCGTATGCAGTGGCCTGCCTGGTGATTGCTGCACTTTTCTTCTGGCGAGTCCAGATTCCCGCTGCATGGTAGGCACCGCCCCCGTACTTTTCTGTTTCGACTCTTCTGAGTTTCAATTGGCAGGTTGTTACACCTCCAACTCCTTCCTTTAACATGCAGTTAACGTGCACTTGCTGTGGTGGCCACCTGATGTGTCAGAGGCC